ATCCTGTGTATGTGAAGGGTTAACCTGGGACCAAACCTTACTGGGAATTTTTACTGAAAATAAATTTAATATGACATTTTTAGTTTGCCTACAGGCTTAGGCATTTCTCTATTTTGTATAGAAGATAAAACAAGGAATTTCTGCAACTGCAGCTGCAATAAACCACAGAACACAGGAGTCTTGAAGGAGAGAAAAAGCTTTATCAGTTGGTATGTGAGTTGAATGGGTTGATCTAGGGCATGGCTCTAAGATTAAAGCCCAGCATAGGAACTGAGTTAAATATATTAGTGACATTTTTATTATCTTCCAGGCAACATAGCCCAGACTGAAGTCATCTCAAAGGGATATTATGATTCTGGTCTAGAAGGAATTCAGAAATGTATTTTTAAAAAGTTTCCAGGAATGTTGTGGTTCCATGTTTCTTCACTCGACAAGCAAAGCTATTGAGTCCTCTGGGACATCCTATGGCCATGTCTGTCTTATCTCCCACTGGTGAGCCTCTGTGAGAAATTCTCACCCTTTTAGATTTCTTGGGGTGCTAATCCAAAGCTGGGTGATTTATTTTTTTATTTTTTAATCATTTTTTTTATTAGTGAAACACCATGAGGTACAGTTATAGACTTATCAAAGCTGGGTGATTTAAAACATCTTTTCCTCACAGTCTGGAGGCTGGAATTTTGAAATTAAGGTATGGACAATGCCACACGGTATCCCTAAGGTCTCTCAATGAGAAAAATTGTACTGTTTGACATTTCGTCCTAAGGGAAATTTTCTTATCATAGTCAAACTAAAATTTCAGGGACTGTAGAGAGTACAGAGATTAAGGTGCTTGCCTTAATTGCAGACAACCGTGGTTTGATCCCTGGCATAGCTTTTGGTCCACTGAGTACTATCAGGATTGATCGTTGAGCACAGAGCCAGGAAGACACCCTGATACTTGGAAAGACTTCACCTCTCTCTCTAAACAATGACCTAAAATTTTAGACTGTGGCATTCATGAAGATTTGATGCATTGATCTTAAAAGGCCTTGATCTGGCAATATACACAATTGCATCATTCTGATCCACATTTTAGGCATGGTCTGGGTTTCTATCTTCTTTATACCTGATTCCTTTTGCTACATAATCATTGTTATTTTCCTAGGGGCTGAGGTAATAGTACAGCAGGTGGGGTTCTTGCATTGCACACAACCAACTCAAGTTTGATCCCTGGCATATCATTTGGTTTCCAGAGCCCTACTAAGAATTATCCCTGAATGCAGAACCAGGAGTAAGCCCTGAATACTGCCTCATCCTCTGTGACTCATAAACAGAAAGCTCAAAAGGCTGGGGCCATATGTCTTGCTTGTATCAAGTCCTAAATACAATCTCCAGTAAGACATATCACCAAGCATCACTGGATAAAGGCCTACTGGCTCCCAGATATCAACAGTTGTATCCCTGGAAGCCCTTGAATATCGATGGAGTGACGCTGGTCTACCCCAACACTGCCAGGCCAAGCAACAATTCCTCTCAGGGCATAAGCACTAAATAGTCTGGCTCCTATTGCCTGACTATTAGAGGCAATGGATGCAGGCTTCTGAGAATTGCTGGAGAGCTTTCTCTGCCCACAATGAAGCATATAACACAGAAGCAGCAGGAATGTAGTATAGAGTGAGTACATACATTCAAGTTCAGATCTCAAGAGTAACAACATTAAATATCTGAATAATTTCCAGTGGAAAATAAATTTTTATTGCAGTCATAGAAGCAGGATGCCTCAGGAGATATAGGAGAGAAGATAAAAAGAATGTTTTCCCCTTCCCATTAAACATTATGAAAAGTTATTCTTTTATAGCTCAGCGTTACTATAGTAGTATAATGAACAGAGGGTGATTTCTCCTATTACCCTTAGATTCCTATTTATCAGATCCAATTATAAACTACAGCCTTTTCCTCAAGAAAAAGTCACAAGTTGAATAAAGCACTCTTCATTCCAAACTTTCAGAAATGTCCTCAGGTATTCATCTGAACTTTTCAATTTAGGCTCTTCCTTGAATGGCTCCCCTCACCCCAAAATTCACTGAAGAATACTTGGAATACATCAAAACCCACCTCAAACATTAGCTCTCAATGAATACATCAAAACCCACCTCAAACATTAGCTCTCAATGAACTCTCCTGTGTGTTTCAGATTCATTATGCTTCTTTGGCAGAACTGAATGCCCCTTTTTTAAAATTCATTGCTGCAATTTGTAGATATTTATACAATAAAAAGTTACCCTGTGTCTCAATTATATGATTAAATAACCGTTCTTTGCTAAACTTTGGTCACTTTTAAGTTAAGATTGCTGCCATTTTTGTTCTTATCTCCCCAGTGTAGTGCACAGGCCAAATAACTACTTCTCCAAAGATGAGAATTTTTGGAGAAAATTCTGTACTACATTCCTGCTGTTTCTATGTTATATGCTTCATTGTGGGCAGAGAAAGCTCTCCATCAATTCTCAGAAGCCTGCATCCACTGCCTTCTCTGTACCATGAAATCAGAAGTATAAAAAAACTCATTACAGTATAGAAAACATAATGTCTAAAATATCAAAAACTCATGTGTTGATTTACATTTCAATTCATTAAAATGAAACAGTTTTTAAAATTTTTCTTTTTCAACTACAGCATGGCATTTTTAGTGTTTCACAGCTGCATGCACCTTGCAAATTGCATTGGCCAGTGTAGTTTAATAAAGAGCATTTCAAAATTGAGCAGTACTGGCATAACATATCTGTATACTTTTTGATGATCAGATGCATACATTTTAAAATGCAAACACTAGTAGAATTACCAGATACATTATAGCCCTGGAAATATTGCAAAGAAAATGGAAGATGCTGTAATATCCAGTGAATCATTGTTATGGAAGATGAAAAGTGTTTTTTCTAACAGATCACTCCTAGTAGAAACTTTACTTTTCTTACAAGTTGTGCATTCACAGAAAATTGACTTGATCTCTCAGGAACTTCATTCTATTATTTTCAAACTAAAAATCATGTCTAGCCATTGTCAGTATTAAAGAAGTTACCTAGTGTACACTATTTGACCAATGACCAATAAAACATATTGATAATTAAGATGAATTTTGGGAACTTCTAAAATCAACCATTTAACAGATATTTCTAATACTTTTTGATACTATTTTGCTACTAATACTATTTTGTTACTAGTATTTAGTAGCAAAGTTGCAGGAAATGGGCTCCTGAAGGAACACCCCATGGATAGATATTCCCCTAGGTAAAATAGTTTAGATCTTAGAATGCAAAGAATTTGAAAATGTGCACCCAAGAAACAAATAGAACACCAGGAAAGAATTGAATATATGACAAATATCTTCTAGCTACAGATGTCTACCAGGTAAGCACAGAATAAGACTGTTTTGAGTTTTTTAGATGTAGAAGCAACATGCGCAAAAATAGAATAGGGAATTGTCAGGACTTTGTTCTCTCTATATAAGAGAAGTAAAAACCCCGACCTTTGATCTTCATGTACCTATTGAATGCTGATGTGCTTTCCTAAGTGTCCTGTCCTTCTCTGTCAACAATGGCTCACCTTTTAGGAGCCTGGAGCGTGTGGAGGAATGATAATAAATGACCAGCCTGTAAGATCAGTGATGACTGTCTAGACAACCTAAAGCTTGAGCAGTTCACTTGAGTTTTTCTTATTTTCTGTGATGAACCTTCATGGGACTGAAGTCAAAGGTGCCAATCCAAATGGCGTTAGAAAAAATGTGCTCAAGTAAATAGACTAATTACACGCGTAATATCTTTAAAATTGTTATCATCACTGTCACTGTCATCCCTTGTTCTTCAATTTACTCGAGTGGGCACCAGTAACGTCTCCATTTGTCCCAGCCCTGAGATTTTAGCAGCCTCTCCTTATTTGTCTTTCCCAACATATTGGAGGCTCTTTCAGGGTCAGGGGAATGAGACGCATTATTATTACTGTTTTTGTCATATTGAATATGCCATGGCTAGCTTACCAGGCTCTGCCATGCAGGCAGGATCCTCTTGGCAGCTTGACAGGCTCTCCGAGTTATATATATAATATTTCTCTATCATATATATATATAAATAACTATTTCTCTATAATGTCTGGTGTGGTAATTACAGAAAATGGGTAAAGAATGTTTTATGATGTATTTCATGACCACGCAGTCCAGGAATATGTTCACTCATATGTGAGGCTTGCCCCAAGCATGTGTAAAGAGGCCTGAAGAATTGCAGGGGATGGGGAATGAAGGTAGGCTGCCAGGGCTTGGTCCCTTGGGGCGGGGAGGTCTCTCAACCGCACCCCTCTGGGGCTGCCCGAGTGAAAACAACCTGGTGCGGAGTTCTTAAAATTGAGAATATCAGTTTTCTAATTAGAAATATTTGGCTTGTTTTATATTGAGCTTAATGAGCTTAATGTTGAACGTGTGTGTGTGTGTGTGTGTGTGTGTGTGTGTGTGTGTGGGCGCTCGCACGTGCGCTATACTGCACAAATGTCAAGTACAGGGAAAGAAGAAATACCTGAAAACAAGTGATGTTTTTGTCTTTTTGATATTTTTTGTACCAAGAAAGCATTTTCTTTAGTATTTTCTTCTGTATACTTAATGTAGGAAAGATTTAAAGTTACACTTTTATTCATTTAATTCTTTGTGCATTTGTGAATTTATTTTTTCAAAACAATGACATTAACAAAAACTTTACATAGCCTATATTGAATCAACGCATTCAAATAGGCTTTAACTGTATAATTGGGATTAATACATAGCTAGAATTTTATCTTTTACTTTCTGGCATATGAACTAACAAACTTATGAGTTACAGAAGATTTGTACTTTTTTATTTGGTTCATTCTGAATATTAAAAACGCAAAGTTTTACTAAATTTTTGACATATATCTCCACTCTAGATTTTACATTCAGTGATATGAGTATCTGCAATAGCTCAGTTAATATCAAGAGAGAGGTACAAAATAGGATTCAAAAATGGCAGGCAAATTTTTTATTTATTATAGGCAATTATTGAAACTGCATATTTGACTTTATGAATAATAAATCATGTGGGAAAAAACGTCCACATTGCAGTTATATTTTCAGAATCTAACTTCTTTTATTTTTTCTTCTGAGAAATAATATTAATGATATTTTGTAGCATCATATGGAAAATTCCTCCTGTGGAAATTACTTGTAGTTTCCAAGCTGAATGGCAGAGCGTACATAGACACAACGGAAGGTGGATGGTTGGATCTCCCAGTATTGGACTGGGTTGCTGAAAAGGCTCACACCAGAGTAAGAAGCCTTTTTAGTGTTGTAGCCAGGTGGGCAGAAGTCATTAGACCCAACAGCAGAGATATTATTGTTATGAAGGTAGACAACCTGCAACATGGAATAACATAGAATAATTATTTTCCTCTAAAAATACTAAGGCACTTAATAATTTTTTTTTGTTTTTTAACCTAGAATTTGAATATCTTAAAATTTCTCATGAAATATTTTCTTTCTTTTCTGGACCCTCTGAGCACTGCTTGTGAGTAGTACTGTGAGTATGCTGAGCAGTACAACTATATATATACATGTACATATAAATATATATATATATAAATATATAACAACACATATGTAACAACTGTAGCCTCTATTAATATAGAATGTATATTATATTTATGTATACATATAGCACAGCGGGTAGGGCGTTCGCCTTACAAGCGGCCAACATGGCTGACCCGAGTTCGATTCCTCCGCCCCTCTCGGAGAGCCCGGCAAGCTACCGAGAGTATTCGATATGCCAGACACAGTAACAACAAAGTCTCCAATGGAGACGTTACTGGGCCCGCTCGAGCAAATCGACGATCAACGGGAGGGCCTTTACCTTTACCGTTATAATAGACATACATACATATGTATATATGTGCACTGACTATATGTGTATATGTGTATCTGGGTGTCTGTGTATATAAAACAACTGTAATATCTACTTAGTTTTCATTCATAGGTGGAACCTGTTGTGTTTGTTTATGAGTGTGTCTCCAGTGTCTTCTAAAGGGATTAATTATCCAATAAATATATGTTGAAGAAATAAATGCATAGATTCATAAATTAAAATTGTGTTTACACATAGTACTATGTTTTCAGAACAAAAATAAAATGATAGACTTTATGGGTTTCCTTTGAAGCAGGGCGCCTGTGAGCCACTAGTGATTATTAACAAACAAGGCCAGACATCTCCATACTTTGGTCAGATGATGTGCTGAAAACTGTGGGTTCTCAGATCCCACAGTACTAGAGAACACCAAGGCCAAACCAACAATGCTCAGAGATCATGAATTGCTTTAGATCAAACCAGGGTCATGTACCAACCCTTGACCTATCTTTTCAGATTCTAAAATAACAAATTTAATAAAATTATATAATAAAATGATATGGTGCTTTGCAAACAAAAACAGAAGATACAGAAAATAATCACATTCCACAAAATAGTTGATAACTGTAGCATTTGTAATAGTTAAAAATTTTGACAAAAGTTATTCTCTATTACAAATTCTAATTTATAATTATAATGTGAGTATTTACTATCTTGATATTTGAAATAGATTTATCCTCATGTCTAAGATAATTGGACTTCTTCATAGAAACTATAATATTTATGACAAATGATATTGAGACAATTAGATATCCACATGAAAAATAAACTCTTCTCTCATGAAATACAATGAATCAATACACTAAATTAATCCATACTTGGATTATAAACATAAATATAAACATTGAAACTATAAAATTTCTAGAAAACTAGAAACGTTCTTATTTTAAGTACTAAAATATTTAAATTTCATTTAAATTTAAATGGACCCATGAAATGAAACAGACCCATGAAACCATAAAAAATGCTAACTTGGACTTTATCAAATTTAAATATTTTCATTTCAAATCTATAACAGAAAACAAGTAGCACTGTAGCACTGTCCTCCCACTGTTCATCGATTTGCTCAAGTGTGAGACCAGTAATGTCTCCATAGTGATACTTGATGTTACTGCTTTTGGCATATGGAATATGCCACAGGGAGCTTTCCCGGCTCTGCCATGCAGGCAGGATACTCTCAGTAGCTTGCCAGGCTCTCCAAGAGGGATGGAGGAATCAAACCTGGGTCAGCTGCATACAAGGCAAACACCCTACCCGCTGTGCTGTCATTCAAATTTTAATAATAAAATGACTTGTTTGCAGGAAGTCCAGGTCTGATTTCTAGCACCTCATAGCATCCAAGAATAGCCAGGAGCAGTAGCTGAGACCAGAACTGAGAATAGCTGCTTAGAACTACTGGGTGTAGCTTAAGACAATTGCAACAGAATAATTGAAACCAGCAATCAATAAAGCTTTTATTGTGAGACCTAAAACCTAAACCTAAACAAGTATACAAATATATATATGTATATATACATATATATGGGGGCTGGAGCGATAGCACAGTGGATATGGCCTTTGCCTTGTGTGTGCTGACCCGGGTTCGATTCCTCCATCCCTCTCAGAGAGCCTAGCAAGCTCCCCGTGGCATATTTGATATACCAAAAACAGTAACAACAAGTCGCAGATTGTGTTCTTGGAGCGAGCAGACATCACTGGGCTAGACTAGCATGTGACAGGGATGAATGGAGATGTTAGTGGTGCCCACTTGAGCAAATCGATGAACAATGGGACAACAGTGCTACAGTGCATAGAGAGAGGGGTAAATATTATACCTATACCTATTTATATATAATCTGTAAGCCTACTTAAAATAAAATTTTTAACAATAGCATAGCATTTCTTATTGTGTCTTCTAAACGTCTAATTTTATATCAGAATCCAACTTTGCTTACTGTTCCACTAATATGAAAGATCCAATGAAAAACTAAGTAACATGAGAATTATTTTATTTAGTCAATTTCCTTCTGGTAAAATAAAAGATCCATAGAGGACCAAAAATAACTACAAGTTTTATCTTTGTGTTTACAACATTCAGATAACAAAAATCTAGCAATATAAACTTGATATGTCAGCTTCATTCAGAAGGTTTTTAGTTTTATTGACTCACCGATGAATTAAAAATTAAACAGATAATTTATTCAAATAATTGCAAGTAGAGCAAAATATAAAACTCAAAGCACTGGCAAAAAATTTGATATAATAGATCACCAAAAGATCTACTCTATAAAAGAATTAATCAGTAAGAAATGTCAATGTCAAGTTGCAGTTTCTAAATTACAATGTAGGTGCCAATCTAAATTTCTGAAAGAAACAATTTAAATATGGCCTTTAAAAAGTGAAAAATGCAGCTTAATTAAGCAAATATGTAAAATATATTTCTGACACAATGGTGAGTTATTGTTAAACTGATTAACATTATTATATTTTCAAAATAATATAACCAGAATATCATGCTTATCTATTCATTAGAGCAATAGACATCTTATGCTTCTACATATGAAATTAGTATCAAAAATAAAGGTAATATGCATGCTTTATATTATAGAGATCAATACCATAAAGTTCTATTACCATTGTGAACCACTGAAACACATCTTTCTATCTTTATAAAGACAGGATAACTTCATGTATTATATGGATTTGATTCGGTCACAGCTGAATATTCCATTTGACTTATAAGACATCCGTGGAAACCAACAATTAAACCTGTTTTATTCCTTACCTCTGTGTCATAAATTATGTCATTCACTTTGGTATGTTGCCTAATGAGAGAACTGAAACTATTTCTTTCTCTCTTTTTCATTTGTTTGTTTGGGGTCTACAAATGGTTGTTCTTGGGGTTGATCTCTGTTCTCAGCGATCACTCCAAGTGCTGGTTCAGGGACCATATGCAGTGCTAGGGATCAGATTTAAGCCAATTACATGTAAGGCAAATGCCTTAACCACTGTAGTATCTTTCTAGCCTGGGTACTATTTACTTCTTTCGAAAATATTATTTTTAGAAGAAAATTTTATTGTACGTTCAAGAAAATAATCCCATTGTTTAAAGTAAATAGTTGAAATGTATTCTTCACAAAAATCAGAAATATTATTTTTGTGAGAACTTTTAAAATAACTTTTTGCAAATCTATTTCAAGCAGAGCATCTTGTTTGTTTTACTAGGAACATTTTATCCCAAGACAGTTCTCACAGCATTTTGTGACATTGACTTACCTGTATGTACTTATGCTCTGCCAGCCCACCAGGCACTTTGATAAGCTTGTTGTTATCCAAGTGAAGTTCGCGCAGATGAGGAGTGTTTGCCAAAGAGCCATTTTCAACGACAGAGATGCTATTGAAACTTAGTCCCAACCTACAACAGAAAGCAGAAATAAATGCTTACAACCAAACATGGGTCATTTTTTTTTGCTTTTTTTTCCCCCTCACAGGTGGTTATCAATTGATCAAGTCAACAGAAAACCCTTTCTTCCCTGACCATACCATTTGATTAGAGTACCTTTTCCAAACTTTCTGACTTATAATATACCACATTTGTTTTTAAGCTTTCAGCCTAGTGCTACCCTCTTTGGAACTCCTTTGACAGCAGTCAATAGGATATGTAAAAGTTAAAAGTGTAATTTATGGGTATCCTCTGTAGAACTCCAGGACTGTAGGTTTGTGTGGATTTATTCTTCCCATAAGAAAAGTGGAAACAGGGCCGGGGAGATAATACAGTGGGTAGGGCATTTGCCTTGCACACGACTGAGCTGGGTTCGATCCCAGGCATCCCATATGGTCCCCCAAGCACCACCAGGAGTAATTCCTGAGTGAAGAGCCAGGAGTAACCCCTGAACATTTTGCTGGGTGTGACCCAAAAAGAAAAGAAAAAAAAGCAGAAACTATTATTAATAATATTGCCAAATAAAAAAACCCTTAAAGGTAAGAAAAATGAAACTGGTGTATCATATTTGGGCTTAAAACAGCTAATTGATCAAAGGCTGTATAATAAATGCACTAAATACAGGAGAGAGAAAAATTAAAAGGAAGACTATTATCATTTAGGCATCCCCCAAACCAAAAGATACATATTTATCATATGCATTTATTTATTTATTGAAAATAAAAACTAAGTTTCTAATGAGTTAATAATCCTCTCTGCCAGAAAGTCTAATAGTTTGCATTTCGTTTTAGTTAGAAAATATTTGTTGGTGATCATCTGTTACTATAAGAATTTGCCTGATGAAAACATTCTCAGATTCTGGTCTCAGTCTTTGACTAGATTTCTGTCTTGATTTATAAAAAAACTATTAAATAACTAGTAACTGAGAAATATGAAGCTATGAAGTCCTTTCATAAAATACACGATTGTGAAATCAGAAAAAAAGCTGACTTAATGAGCAGACTAGTGTGATGAATGTTCTAGCGATGAATCTATCAAAACTACACTTCCAACACAAAAAGAGAAGAGACAAGGCATCGAGGATGAGGGAACAATGTGTTGGTAAAGATCCAGCAAGCATCAAGGAGAAAAGAATTCCCTTCAAATGCAAAGAAAAAGCTTCATGTAGGTTTTTGTAGGATGGTTTCTGTGGCCTTCAGCTATGGCTCATCACGTTTTTTTAGGTTTAGATTCTGGTATATGTATCCAAAGTCTTCCAGTTTTAATCATATCTTGATGTTTGAGATAATCAAGATTAAGGTTTATTGACTTTAAGTGATCAATGGCAACTATTTCTTCTTTAAAAACACTTGCTAAATTTGGGTTTTTTTTTTTTTTGCTTTTTGGGTCACACCTGGCGATGCATAGGGGTTACTCGTGGCTCTGCACTCAGGAGTTACTCCTGGCGGTGCTCAGGGGACCATATGGGATGCTGGGAATCGAACCCGGATCGGCCACATGCAAGGCAAACGCCCTACCCACTGTGCTATCTCTCCAGCCCCTAAATTTGCTTTCTTAAGGATACATTTACATATTCAGTTAACAAATGTTTTGGAGACTCTACTTTGTTCAGTATAATAGACTAGACTCGTGAGGATAAAGGAAAAATCAGCTGAAGGTCATAATTTTTTTCAAGAAGGAGTATTTCAGCTAATAATCACTCAGAATATGGTCCGTGTGCTGAAAGTATATAAAGGAGCTAACACAATGACTCTTGATACCTTTATTGCAAACCATAATGTTCCAAAGGGGGCGGTTGGGGAACAGAGAGAGAAAGAGAGAGAGAGAGAGAGAGAGAGAGAGAGAGAGAGAGAGAGAGAGAGAGAGTGTCAGCCATAGACGCAGGCTGTGGGGGATGTTGGTGATGGGATGTTGGTGATGGGAGGGAAACTGGGACATTGCTGGTGGTAAATATACACTGGTGGAGGGATAGATGTTGGAAAACTGTATGACTGAAACCAATTTATCATTAGCTTTGCAATGGTTTACCTCATGGTGATTAAATACATATTTAAAAAATAATATTTAATCTAGTGAGGGAGGTGATTAGTTAATATATGAAGAGATATAGATATAAATATATGCAAGTAGGATTTTTTTAGCTTAAGGGAGGTTTGCCTGATATTCACTTTATATTTTTGCAGAGTAGCATACATTATTTTCTCCCAGTTGGCTTGAAAAGTAAATGAAATAATCACTCTATAATACTATTCTGAAATCAGTGGCTGTTTTTTTTTAATTCTTTTCACAGTTATTATTGTAACATCAAAATATTCCTCATGTTCCAGAAAAAGTGAGGAACAAACAACATAAGGATTGGGTGATTTAATAGATTTTCCTGGACTCAATTCAAAAAATAAATGTGTTTGATAAATTCAAGATTTGGGAACGTATGCTTGGCCAATTAGTCAATCCTCTCTGAGTTAATGAATGGAATTCAAAGAAAAATCTTTATTTCTCTTGAGAGAAGTTTTTATTTAATATTTTAAAAGTTGTGAGAGAAATCTTTATTTCTGTTGATCTTTTTATTTTATTAGCCCTTTATGCTTTTAATTACAAAGTGTATGATGTCAATATTGAAGTATAGAATCACAAAATCCCTGTATCATTTTCAGAACTAAATAAATATTATAAATGGCATACCTTACACACTTAATTATTGTTTTTATTTTGTTTTCTTTTGGGGACACATCCACCAAGTTTCAGGGGTTATTCCTGGTTCTGTGTTCACTGATCACTCCTGATGATGTTAAGGGAACTATGCTTGATGCTGGGAATCAAACCCATGGCTGGTTCATGGAAAGCAGATACACTGCCCACTGTACTATCACTATGACCTGACATACTATATTTAGAATTTTTTATCATCATTCATTCCTACTATAGTTAGTAATACAAGGTGTACATTTTGTTTTTTGACATGATATGTCATGTCTATATATATAGAATTTTAATATATATATATTTAAAAATATAGGAGTGAGCTAATTTGACATAATAATTTTTAGTTTCTCTATAAAAAAATACTCATACTCAGTCATTAAAAGATGTGTGGAACAAGAACACTGAATAGACCTGAAATAGTTTTCTAGTACTCTCTTCTTTTTATCAGTTACAACATAAAAATATGAAACTATATCTGAGAGCAAGACATAATTATTTAAATCATTTAAAAAATATTAAGAAGGGTCTGGAGTGGGATGACAGTTTGATTCTTAGAATAGACGAAATGTTCACATATTTTTTATGTACACATCAAAGCTACCTTTATACTACAATGTGGAATGGATAATATTTCCCCATCAAGTTAGATTTCATTGTAATTTACTTAAAAATTACAGCGGTCTTATTTATTGATAAGGAATTTGTGCATATATTTTAATTTATATAAATATTTAGGTGATTATAAGCAATATAATGTGGCATAAGAAAAAACTCAGTCATCTTATTTCTGATTCTGAGCATGTAAGTTATTTTACTGGTAAAATTACAAGAAAGAATATTATTACTTAGCCAGATTATTCAATCCTTTCAGACTATCTCCATCAATTTTTGTAATTTTGTTGCCATCAAGATGTAATTCAGTAAGGGAAGAAGGAAGACCTGGAGGAAGAAAATAAAAGATTTTAAATTAAAAGATAAATATAACTGCAGAATGCTGTGATTTAATTAAGACATATTCCATTGACTTTCTAAAAGAAAGTTTCAAAGAATCAGTCTTTATAAAAAAATTTTAGTTACCATGATTTACAAGTTGTTAATTAAAGGTTTTCTGCTACCATCCACCATTATTTTAGTTTCCCTCCCTGCAAACATCCCTTCTCCCATCTTCCTGCCACGAAACTACAATTTTGAAGACCAATTCTTAGGATCTGTTGTCTTTGAAAAATATGTAAAATAAGATGTATGGACAGCACAGCTTTTCCCACTGCTATTAATATTTCCCAATGACCCAGAGCATGAAGAGGACTAAAGTTAAGCAATTTCACGTGACTGTCACTATAATTTACTGGCTCTGGTGTCTTGAGAAATGAAAAACTATTTAAATTATTTTAATCAATAACAAAGTGATTTTCTACTTTAATGTATAAAAGAATGTAACAATAGTGTTACGTATTGTTTTCCTTTGTTTTGATGATCTTTCTAGCTCCAAAATAATTGTACACTATAGTAAGATTTTTAGTGAGGTCCCACCGAGATAAATCACATTGTTTATTTGGCAGGACTACTTTATAGCCAGCTATTATTATGGATTAGTAGTAGTACTAGGAACTTGAGAAAGGGGATGTTTTGAGAAGAACTTTGTAAGAAGTGAAAATATAAAACAGAAAATGTGAGAATATTCAATCAAGTTTCAATTATTTGATGTTTTTTACTACTTACAAGAATTCTGTATATTCACTACACATTAAGACTAACCTTAGTATTTTAAGCAGCTTATGTTTCTGTCTTTCTTTAAGCAGAAAACTCCTTGAAGACAGGTATTATATCTTATTATCACTGTCTCTACTGTTTATTACTTGAGTAAAATGGGTATTCAAAAAACTTTTTTGGAAGGAAGGGAGTTTGGGCCAAAGATAGCTATACATAGGAATAATTCCAGGCCATGCAAAGATCAAAGTTGGTGGACTGTGGGCATGGCAAGTATCTTAGCCGTAGTATTATCCCACTGACCCACAAATCTTTTAATAATGAAAAGAATATAATGGTAATCCACTGCTTACCAAGGTGTCGACATTTCAATACTCTATTAATTCTAAAACAATCCTATGAGTTGGAATTTGAGATTACTGACACATTGAAATATAGATAGATCCAAAGTCCTAGAGTCACTTAGTGACAACTTGCATTGAAGCAAATAAACTCCCAAATCCATAGTCTTTACACTATAAAACAACTACCATCACTAGAAGTTGTTTTCTGCATGAAGCCCTGCCATTAATAAGATTGTAAACAATGATGTCTAAAATAAAATCAAATTTAAGAAAATAATGGGACACTGCAATGTCTCTTATATAGACATAATGACTGCTATGTCCTAAGAGCGAAAGGAATTCACTACTAAATTGGAGAAGTAAAATTCTGTTGCATTTCAAGTTTTTTTGTATATTTTTAACAAAGTACCAAGGAACAATACATATTTTAAACAACCGTGTTTTTCAAAAATATGTACAATCCTAATTAGATAATATAGAGTCATTGTTCAATAAGTCATGCATTAAAGGTATTTTTTAGGCTAACAAGACTAGTCCTTTCTAATGAGCTGATGATACAGGATCTGACAGCAGAAATTTTTCTACGTACAAATAATTTACTGAAAATAAAGTCAGCGATATGAGAAGCCATTCAAATTTCCATACAAAACAGTTAAAGTCAAAGTCCTTGCATTTTGTTTTCCAAATTGCTTAGAGGAATGTACTGTCACCTTGAGGGATGGTGGTTATATTGGTATCAGCAATACGGATGTAAGAGAGCTTCTTCATTCCCTGGAATGCTCCTTTTTCAATCCCTGAACTTTTCAGAGGGTTGGTACCCAGTTCTGCAAATACAGTAAATACAAAGTTTTGAGAGCACAATTTTAGGACATTAAAATTCAGCATGGTGTTTGTTTCACCAAAAAACTGAACAAAAATCTGGGTCAGTTACAACCTGACTGAAAAACAAAACAAAATCTTCAAAAGAAGAGCAAAATAATGAAAAATTTCCCTTCATTGTTCATTTTTGTGATACCAGGGATAAACTCAGTTTAACACATGCAGACAAGTGCTTGTCCACTGAGTAATTCATAAAGTTCCTGATTCCCATTTTTAAAACAATCTCAAAAAGAAAAAGAAAAAGAAAAACAGACTAAACATTTATAGATAAGCAATAGCAGCAAAAACAATGACAAGTTATTTAAACTAAATTCACAAGCTTGCAAAATCAACAAAAGCAAGTGTTTGCAAATCCTAGTCTATTATGAACTACTACCCTAAATAAGACAATATAATGTTACTAAATATTTTCATCAACATTTTATAATCGAGTTATGTAACTGAAAAAATGTTCTACCACACATATACCAAAAGACTCAAAGGTATTTTCAAGTAAGTTCTTTATATATAGGTAAAGGTAAAGGCCCTCCCGTTGATCGTCGATTTGCTCGAGCGGGCCCAGTAACGTCTCCATTGGAGACTTTGTTGTTACTGTGTCTGGCATATCGAATACTCTCGGTAGCTTGCCGGGCTCTCCGAGAGGGGCGGAGGAATCGAACTCGGGTCGGCCATGTTGGCCGCTTGTAAGGCGAACGCCCTACCCGCTGTGCTATCGCTCCAGCCATGTCCTTCATAAATGAAAGTCACACAATGAAAAGACATACATATGTAGAAGCAGTCTCAAATATACATAGCTAAAAATCACGTAATCACACTACACATTCTAAACATACAATAAGAAAAATGCTCTTTCTTCACATTCTCATATCCTTAAAGACAACGCTAAAAATGTTGTCAGAAATAATCTCAACATATTATTTCTTCTTGCCCTATGATTATTATTTTTGCAGGACAGATATACATTTTACTAATTCATCTTCTTGCTGCTTTGGCTTACAATGAATCTATTAAAACATAGCTTACATTCTGGTCTTAGAGTTATAAAAGAATATCTGTACCTATGACAATCATCTGGTTCAATTCATTGAAAACAGCTTTTCGCACTTTGCTGATTTCATTCTCATGGGCACGAAGTTCCTGAAGAGATTTGGGCATTTTTTCTGGCAATTCTTTTAGCTGATTCTTGGACAGATAAAGCCGTTCCAATTTCACCAAAGGTGCAAATGCTGCAGGGCTGATTTTGCTAATTTTGTTGTTGACAAGAATCAATGACTATAAGTAGTAAAAAAAAAAGCACTCATAATTCAAATACTTTTCAAATAGTAAAACATATATAGTCAATCAATTTCATTTATGAGGTTAATAAGGAAATATACGAACTTGTGAGATGTCATGAAAAAAGTAAAAGTACATAAATTGTACATAAGCCTAAACATCACAAAAAAAGAAAGTGTGACAAAATATAGGTTTGTTAATTCATCATTACAAAAAATAATCTTGTAGATTAAAATACTAGTGGAGCTCAAAATACCTAAAAATAATTTATTGTCAGTCATTAGTCTACGAAGGTCAAATTTACCTTAAAAAAAACCATCAAAAGTTAAAATAGATTCCTATGAAAGAGTAGCATCAATTTAAATTATCAGAGGAAGGAATGAATAAAATTTTCTTGAAGCCTCATGATTTTAGATATTTTTTTTTCTGGAACTTGACATATTAGCATTGTGTTGTAATACATTAGTTTGCATCTCCATGCCAATTTAATTATCTAAGCCAAATTTGTTTTGTTTTGGGGCTGGAGCAATAGCACAGCTAATAGGGCGTTTTCCTTGCACGTGGCCAACCCGGGTTCAATTCCCAGCATCCCATATGGTCCCCTGATCACCACCAGGGGTAATTCCTGAGTGCAGAGCCAGGAGTAATCCCTGTGCATCGCCAGGTGTGACCCAAAAAAGCAAAAACAAATGTTTTGTTTTGAACCTTTTAAAGCATGTTTTGAAGAAAGAATTGTCTGGTTGCACCATTTCTTATTCTAATTATATTTAAAGTGGCTTTCTAATTGGCTCACAGAATATTTAACTAATATGCAGTTATATTAGTTTCTATATTATATATACATATTTATATATTAGACTTAATATATTTCCCTTTAATGTACACATTTCTTATATTAACAACCATTAATATTTGGGAATATATTTTCTGTGATTTTTCATATAAAATTTATTCAAATTCAATTTTATGTCTATGAAATTTTAAATTAGATTCATTGTATTAGGAGCTATTGATAAGATTATTTTCAGATATTTCATTTCTCCAAACCATGACATTTTATTATTTTACATTGTTTTATCAATTAATCCTATAGAATTTAGGAGAAATTCTCCAGATCTAAGAAATTTTTATTTTCAATGGCCATCTAGTTTTTTTAATGCACGAACATGAAAAAGGGCAGAAATATGAAATGAGTAAATGTAAGTGAGAACTTTCAATCTCAGGAACTCAAGAATGTTTTCTGAAGTTAAAAACTGATATTAAATTTGCATACTTCACATAATTCATGCTATTTTACTAATTAAACCATACTACAATTAATATAATTTCTACCCAAATCATATTAATCCTAAAGAATACATTAGTCAAGTTAAACAAAATCCTAATTAATTCCAATAAAAATTAATTTAGAAGACTTGAGGTCATAGTAAATGATATCAACAAAATATATAGGATGTAGAAAGTCTAGTGTTAGAGGATTGAATTCTGAAGACTTGATGTAACTAAATGCTAGGAACATTTATTTTAAGTTATATATTTATTTTAAGTTATATATTGAAGCAAACTCCCCGTGGCGCACCCAATATGCCAAATACCAGTAACAATGATGGGTCTCATTCTCCTAAAGAGCCTTGAATATAACCTCAGGGCCAGGATGAAGGAGACGTTACTGGGGCCTGCTCGAGGCAATCGACGAATAACAGGATGATCTGTGATCTGTGATCTGATATATTGAAGCATGACACAATATCATGTAAAATTTTCTTCAGAGTCATTTATTTTAGGGTTTTTACTATACCAGGTACTATTAAAGAATTTTATGGTTGTAATCCTATCTTCCAACAATTGTTACTAAACAGAATAATCCAGAATGCTTCTAAAGTTAAATATTAAGGTCTGGCTCTTATTTGCCTTACAACAAGGAGCAAGTAATTTAATCTCTCTGTTCTTGAGTGTTCTCAGATACAAAAAAGAGATTATTGAGAATATCTAGCTAATAAAAGTTATGAAAATTAAATAAATATAAAGTACAAAGTATTATGTCTAGCATACAGTTTGCAAGCATTTCCTAGTATTAAATATTTCATAATTTTGTTGATAAAATTAAATTTATTAATTTAATAAAGTTGATAAATTTATTACTAGATCCATTGACCTTTAGTTCAAAGGAAACACATTTTTAGTTTAGCAGTGTTATTATTTTTTTTCCATTATTTTATATATTTTTAATTTTTTCTCCATATACATGAGTGGAAAATTTCTCTTATAGAACATGTACTACTCACAGAATGGTCAATTAATTAAAAATATTGAGAATAAAAGAGTACTTTATATTAAATTTCTTCTATTTTAATCATTCCAAGTTTTTATTTTTTACTTCCTTCTCATTAAGTGTAGTTTTCTTGTCTAAAATTATGTTGATTTGCATAATAACAAGGATAGAGATGATCACAAATGAAAGAGTCAGAGAAAAATAGTAGTTTAATGTCCTCTGAAAGGTTAGAAGCTCTAATAAACTCTGCTTCTTCTACTATGTAATTTGAAGTAGAAAGCAAGAGATTGCCAAGCTGATGACTGATTAAAAACATACTTAGCAGGAATCTTGGAAAAGTAAGGACATATTATTACAAATGCCATATTCAATGAGGACATACCAAAAACTAGATACCTTTTACTTAAGGGTCATATGCATTTGAATAATTTATCCAGTTTAGACTTAAATATACAGAAATTAGAAGCAAAGTAAGATCATTTTATTTTTTAAAAATGTAAACTTTGCATAAGCATAAAAGAATAAAATGCACTTTTTAATATTTTAATGTATATTGAAACTAATGATATTAATAGTTTATTATTATGGGTTATTTTGTTTGTTTGTTTGTTTGGGGGCACATGTTAGCAATGCTCAGAGGTTATTCCTGACTCTTCACTTATGAATGACTCCTCGTGGTGCTCTGGGGACTTTGTGTGGGGAATCCAACCCGGGTCAGCTGCTTGCAAGGAAAGCACCTTACCCATTGTAATATCATTCAGGCCTTTATCATTACTTCCTAAGGTATTTTGACTACATTTTAAAATAATCATACTGAAGTCTTGTTGACATCACTATTGTTTTATTCCTAGTGAAACCACAATATGAAAGCAAAGGGGAATTTTAGGCTTAGTATATTAACAATGGAGAAGAAATCATTAATCAAAGGATTGAAATCTTTAGCTCAAATCTTATCTACTACTGTTTTTATTTATTTATCTATTTATTTATTTATTTATTAAATTTTTATTAGTGAAACACCTTGAGGTACAGTTGTAGACTTACAAATTTTTGTGCTTGGGTTTCAGTTATACCAAAATCGAGTACCCATCCCTCCACTAGTGCCCGTTCTCCACCACCACTAATTCCAGTATCCCTCCCACCCCCCTGTTCCTTTCTTTATAGCCAGTTTGCATTTGTTACCTGTCTTCTGTATATCTTTTTCACTGATTTGTGATAGTAGGTAATTTCTAGTGTTAAGGCTGGAGCAACAGCACAGTGGGTAGGCCTTGTACGCGGCCAACCAGCTGACCCAGGTTCGATTCCACCACTCTCAGAGAGTCCATCAAGCTACTGAGAGTATCCACCCACTTGGCAAGGCCTGGGAAGCTACCCATGACTTACTCAATATGCCAAACACAGTAACAAGTCTCACAATGGAGACATTACCCAGCCAGCTCCAGCAAATTGATAAACAACAGGAGGATAGTGCTACAGTGCTACAGGTTCATGCCTCAATATATGTGCAATTGTCACTTTCTCCACCCATATCTCGTCCTACCAACAAAATCTCCCCTTCTAGCTTTCTTTTATTATTACAAAGACAGTCCTTTTATCTTTTTTTCAAAAGTCTATAAATATGCAAAGAATACTTTCCCACAAGATAGCCTCTTAAAACAGAATCTGTTAGTATGTTGCATGCTACTGTCTGATGTTTCTCCTACTTGATGCTAATAACATACACTTCATATATTGTTCTTATAGTGTTCCATGCTATTATATTATGTGCTATTCTTTTTATTAACTGACTCTATGAAGTATCTTTAAAATATTAAGGAATACTTTAAAATACTTAAATATCTGTTGTATTCGATATGCCAAACACAGTAACAATAAGTCTCACAATGGAGATGTTACTGGGCCCGCTCGAGCAAATTGATGAACAACGGGAGGACACTACACTACCTTTTCTTTTAATGGATAGATGTTGATTGGTTTTGCTTATGTCGATTATCAAATAGTTGACAGGTATGTTGCCTTACTATATTAACTCCATAACTTCAAAGTATATTATGATCAGTTTTTTTCTATTTTACATTATTTTCCTTACACCTTAATTTCTTATTCTAATGTATAACATTTATTTATATTTGATGATTTATTTATATTTATAAAGGTGTTATGTTTAGTGTCTAATAGTATAATATATACCCTCAATTATTTTCAATAATAGCTATAATAAATAGATATGAGAATTTCTATGTTATTGCTCCCAATTCTAAAAATGTATTCCTAAGATAGTCACAATAAAAAATTAAAATTATCTCTGTAGATAACTGACTCATAACTATGCCATCCATTTAATCTTCTAAAAATTCTCTGAATAGTATTTTAATTTTAAACAAAAATCTGCTTTCCTAAAACTTCCAGTCGATTATAAATAGGACATTCTGTCATTCTGTAGTTCAAAGTAGTAAACAATTCTTTCCAAACATTTTTCTTAAAATATTTCACTCACATGTATTTTTTATTAACTCTAAATAGCCAGACATAACTGTGAATCATGCCTATATAAAGTTTGATTTCCAAATTTTTTGCCACATGATGACAATTATCTGAATGCTTGAAGGTCAGTGCAATTTCTAAACTGCATTTCTACATTTTAGTAATTCCAGTGGCCTATTAGAGTAGAAAACACACAGTGAATACTAAGTATTCATTTTGGATGTTGAAATATGGTTTATTTAATTTACTGTAAATGTGAACTTATATTGTGAGTAGAGACCAATTGTGTTCATCCCAGAAATAGATCATTGTACTATCTAATAATCTTATTACTATCTAATAATCAACAGGAGTTTCCTTGTTGTAGTCTATGGGAATAAAAATGTACTTTTACAGAAGCTACACTAGCAAATCTTAAGTAATTTTGCGACCATTTTCTATTTATAGTATGTCCCTATCTATTGCTATATTATCATTCTTTGTGCTCTTTAACTATCCCTAATACACTGGAAAACTGACTTCAGGGAGATTACTTCAATCTGATGCCCTATAACTCCCCATCTATTCCATGGCTCAGAAACACACTAGTTTCTTTGGGTCTGTAGGTCTGGGTGTATCATTATGTCTTATTTGTTTCTATACTCCTTTGTAAAAGGTTCCTTCAGTTAAATCTCTGTAAAATATTTTTTTTGCTTTTTTGGGCCATATCCAGCGATGCTCAAGGGTTACTCTTGGCTCTGCACTCAGGAATTACTCCTGGCGGTGTTCAGGGGAACATATGGGATGCTGCGATTCGAACCCGGGTCAGCCGCATGCATGGCAAATGCCCTACCTGCTGTGCTATCGCTACAGCCCCAAATCTCTGTAAAATATTTTTGATAGTGCATTTCATTTATTAATTTTTAGTGGAGAGTACATTTCTTTTATTCTGTAATGGAGAATGTATTTCTCTTATTTTGGGATTCTGAAAGTAGATGGGATGTGTTGCCGAAAATAGATGAAAGGTAACCAAAAGTCATTAGTAAAAACTTATACATATAGGATGCAGCAGACATTATCCCAAACACTTACTAAAGAAAGGCGATTATATTTACTAAATAAAATATACATGACTAGGTCTTTTCCTATTATTGCCAACCTCTGAGCCTTTATAAAGTAATTTGCACAACTTAGAAAGTAAACTTTAGGTAATGCAAATAAAGCAATAATGCTAACAGCAATCTATTTTGTGTACCATTTAAGTATTAGGTTAAAATCTTATTGGAAGATAAAAATTATTTCTAAATTATGAGACAAAGAATTTTCACAATTCAACCTCAAGGATACATGAAGTATTTTTAATTAAAATTGGCTAAATTTTAAGGGATGAATGAATATGGTGCTTGGTTCCATTACTTACCCCTAAGAGAGAACTGATTAACCTACTTAATTGGCACTTATTTATCAACATGCAGCCTTTCCTATATTTTGTTTAAAATATAGGTTTAGTCATATCTTGTAAAAACCTTAAAAATAAACTCTTACATGAAGGTTCTTCAGGTTCTTAAAATCCCCATCTTTTATTTCAGTTATTTTGTTGTTTTGCAAATCCAGCAGCATAGTATCAGGGGGAAGATCTTTTGGTACTTTTTCCAGACCTACCAAGAAAGTAAAAGTCAGTAAGAAGGTGATATAAAGAGATCACAAAGCATATGTTCTTAAAGCAGTCAATATTTTGATGACCATTTTACTAAAACATACTTACCATAATATTTTTTCTTCTAGGAATCTAAACAATAATAATATAAAATATCCACTTTACCTCTTCTCACCAAGTCAGAATATTTTTATGATAATCAGAATGCATTTTTTCCATAATTTTCTGCAACTTTATTTTCTATATGTGGCTAAAAGCTCTAAGCTTATGGTATGTTTTGACATTGTTCTTGTATTAGAAAGTAACTCCTTTGGTTAGTGATAAGCATGAATAATTGGTAAATGTCTACCTTTCTAACAAAAATCCACTTGATAGTAAAATGCTTTAGTTAGTAAAAGGTAAAGTAAAGTAAAGGCCCTCCCGTTGATCATCGATTTGCTTGAGCAGGCCCAGTAACGTCTCCATTGGAGACTTTGTTGTTACTGTGTTTGGCATATCGAATACGTCACAGGGAGCTTGCCAGGCCCTGCCGTGTGGGCGAGATACTCTCGGTAGCTTGCCGGGCTCGCCAAGAAGGGTGGAGGAATCGAACTCAGGTCGGCCATGTTGGCTGCTTGTAAGGCAAATGCCCTACTGCTGTGCTATTGCTCCCGATAGCACAGCTTTAGCTAAATAGTAAATTAAAAATCCTTTACTAAACCGCACATTAACATTGTATCTGACATTAAAATTACATGAGCATGTGCCATTACTGTCAATAATTAAAGAATTTATTTAAACTCTTTTTTAAAAAATTTCTTTAGCTTTAATTGGTATGTGAAAGCAATACACATTTTACAACCAACAGAAAAATGGTTAAACAAATATTGAAATAAAATTAATTAGAATAAAAGTTAATGTATCAGGAGTGACAAAATATACAGTTTGGCTTCCAACATATTTTTGTTTTATTGTAGTGTGTTTTTTTATTTTTAGTGATGCTATTGTATTAATTATAGTAATAGTACTATTAACACTATTAATACAAGAACTATTCCCAGTTTCAACCAAAAAGCATAAAAAATATGCAAAATACTATGAAAACTAGTTTGCAAAGCAGCTATAAACAAGGAAAAATGAAAAATTGGCTAGAATAAGTATAAATTCTTAGAAAGAGACAAAGTGAAATATTCATAATTCCCAACTAGTCCCAAGTTATCCAAATGCTGATCAAGTAAATTCCTTAAGATTTTGAGCAATTTAGATATAAAATTTAAAACTAAGCTACATATGGCTAATTTTAACACACATTATCACACAAATTAATAACATTAGACCTAGCCTAACTACATATCATGTTTTGAAAAAACAATCCAAGTAGCAGTAATTAATTATCATATGGTTAGATTTGGTTTGATGGTAATGAGAAATTTAATTTTTAAAAAATCCATTTTTAGTTTTTTAAAAAATTTTATTTTAGGTACTATAGTTTAAAATACTGTTGATGGCGGGGTTTCATGTATAACAAAATCCCTTTCCCCACTTCCTTTCACCATTCCCAAACCCCCTCTCTGCAACCCCTCCCCCCAATCCCTAGGAGGTGTCCTATTTTATCCACCCCATCCCAACTCTCCCATATGGTTTGCTTCCTACTGAAGACTAGTTCTTCATTTTTGTTGCCTTTGGGTATTTTTTATTCTCCTACTACATCTCTTTATACCCCACATATGAGAAAGATCATTTTTTACCTATCTCTCTACTTCTAACCAACTTCACTCAGCATGATACTCAGCATGTACTCAGCATCCACATAGCAGCACTGTAGTGCTGTAGCACTGTCCTCCCATTTTTCATCGATTTTCTCGAGAGAGCACCAGTAACATATACACTGTGAGACTTGTTACTGTTTTTGGCATATCAAATATGCCACAGGGAACTGGCCAGGCTATGCTGTGCAGGTGGGATACTCTCGGTAGCTTGCCAAGAGGGATGGGGGAATCAAGCCCGGGTCAGCCACATGCAAGTCAAATACCCTACCCTCTGTGCTATCTCTCCAGCCCATAGCAGCAAACTGCATTATTTTATTTTTACAACATTCAAAAATATCACTTGTCACAAAAATAAGCAGATGTCCAAGCTACTCCTATACTTTTGTTATAGGAAAGAAATAGACCAGATAGAGTTTTATGACATATCCAAGTTTCTTCATTACTAAAGTAGACTACATGATATGGTCATATTATATGACTTCTTATGCGAGAGCTACCTAGTGTGCCAATAATACATGCAAACAATGCACATTTTTTTTTCTTTTTTGGGTCACACCCAGCAATGCACAGGGATTACTCTTGGCTCTGTACTCAGAATTACCCCTGGCGGTGCTCAGGGGACCATATGGGATGCTGGGAATCAAACCCGGGTTGGCCATGTGCAAGGCCAACGCCCTACCCACTGTGCTATTGCTCCACACCCCCCATGCATATATATTTTTTAAAGATATTCATTTACAATGTCACTCAAATATATTATATTTAATTTCTAGTGACCCAATTTTGCTCATGAATTTCATACTTGACAGAAAACTCTACTCACTCAATTTTTCTAGCTCTATTCTAATTAATCTTTTGAAGTATCCCATTGGGACCAGAGTGATAATGCAATGAGTAGGGCGCTTACCTAACACATAGCAAACAGGTTTGATCCCTGGCACCACATATGGTTCCCTGCACTCCTATAAGTGACATCTGAGCACAGAGCCAAAAGTAATCCATGATTGGCAGCTTTGACCCAGAAAAAAAAAAACTGAATAAAATTAGAAGAAAAGGCATCCATTATTCTCTTCTATAATATTAATTTTAGTATCCTCAGATAAAAAATAAAAAAATTAACTTAGCTTCAATTTTGTTGTTTGAGTTTATGATACATCATCTCATATTTTAAACTTTTTCTTTAGTTAGGTTCTAGGTAAGTTGGGATAAAAGATTTTTTTATCAGAGCTTTGATTTCATTGCTTTTATACAAAGGTGGTAATTATCTCAGTGACATTCTACAAGGAAATTTAGCAAACATTATTGAAATTCATATGAAACTACAGAAGTTTCTGGGTAGCCAAAGAAAAACTGAGACAAAGTAAAATACTATTAGTATTATAACCTTTGATTTCAAATTAGGCTACAAAACTATAGTAATCAACAGACTAGGGTATTAGAATAAAATTAAATACAGATATCACTACAAGAGAATAAAGAATCAATGTTTAAATTCTCACATATATCTAACTTATGATAATGAAGCCACAGTTACAATGGAAAAATAAGTGGTTTTTTGTTTGTTTGTTTACTTGTTTTTAATAAGGGTGCTGAAAAAATTGGATCGCCATATGCAAAACAAACAAAATTACACCTAACTACAAATCACTATCCAATGCCATAAGTTAAGTCAAAGTAGATTAAAGATTTGCATGTAAGGGTTAGAATGATAGTACAGTGAGTAGGGTGTTTGCTTTGCACTCAGCTGAATGGGTTTGATCCCCGGCATCCTATATGGTCCTCCGAGCACCGCCTTGAGTAATTCCTGAGTGCAAAGCCAGGAGTAACTCTTGAGCATCGCCAGGTATGAACCAAAGAGCAAACAAATAAATAATTAAACCATTACAAAAAAAATAAAGATATTAAAAAAAGATTTGCATGTTAGAACTAAACCATTAATATGCACTGCACTGTAGCACTGTCCTCCCGTTGTCCATCGATTTGCTCGAGCGGGCCCAGTAACGTCTCCATTGTGAGACTTGTTACTGTGTTTGGCATATCAAATACGTCACGAGTAGCTTGATAGGCTTTGCCGTGCAGGTGATATACTCTTGGTAGCTTGCCGGGCTCTATAAGAGGGGTGGAAGAATCGAACCCGGGTCAGCAGGGTCGGCCGCGTGCAAGGCAAAAGCCCTATCCACTATGTATCACTCCAGCCCAGAAAAAGATTACAATATATATTTATTACAATATACATTACTGGGCCCGCTTGAACAAATCGATGAACAACGGGAGGACAGTGTGCTTTAAAATTTTATCCTGGAGCTAGAGAGATTGTACAAGGGTTATGGTACTCTGGATCCATATCTGACATCCCATGGTCACTTGAATATTACCAGGTGCAGCTCTGGAGACCCCCAATATCCCTGGGTGTATCTCTGCAAACCTCCAAACACCACCAAATTGACCCAAATATTTTCTGACACTATAGGCCTGGAACAGCACCACATACTTTGGTTTGATCCTCTGGTTAGTCAATTGATCAAGAATCTCAAAAAGGGACCACTGCATCTACCGAATTTCGTTTTGGATGTCTCCTCCCCACCCAAGAATAAAGAATTTCTTTTATCTCATTATGGTTACTGAATGGGACAAAATATTTGAGTACTTCATAAGGAATTGAGATCTACAATATCTAGACATGTACACAGACACATACACACAAACATACACACACACACTTGAACAAGAAGAAAACAAATAGCCTTATGAAAAAATAAGAACATAAAGAATATTTTACAAAACAAGACATATGAATGTCCAAGAAGCACATAAAAATCTCAGTATCAATAAAAAACAGGGATATATAAATCAAAATTTGCATGTAGTATCATCTCACTCACACAACTTAAAATGATCTATATCATAAAGGTTATAAATAATAAATGCTTACAAAAATGCAAATATACTATATAGGGTTGTGCATAAAATAGAATTTTTATACAGTGTTTTTGTTTGTTTAGGAGGTACACTCTATACAGTGCTATGGGGTCATATGACTAAGTGACCATTTATAGTTTTATTGTTCATGAAAATATACATAATGTAATTGAATATGTAGAAAAATTGTATTTTCTTAAGATAACTTCCAGTGTACCTCCTATCACATGTGCTTTTCTTATTAAATATGTTTGTCTCAATCCCATCAAAAGGTGACACTTAATTCCCTCTGCTTCTAGTATGACATGATTTATGATAACTTATGGACTCTGGT